GCATACTTTTATCGTTTAAATACCCGATGTGCATTAATAGCAGTACGTACTCAAACACCAATGTACAAATATAGGGAGAGTGAGAGGCACTTACACTGAGTGAGAGGGCTCAGCTTTAATAAAGTCATTGGCATCTGCAGGCATCTGCAGAATCACAGCTGCTGCAGCAGCATCCACAAATGACAGTAAAACCGCATTTTAACAGTCAAACCAAAATCCCTCCTTCCTCCTGGAGATCAGATAACGAGACTGCCAATCTGTGGATGCCCAAACAGAACTGATGTCCGCACTGAAGTGACAGTAAGTCCATTTCAAGGGGTTTGATTACTGATGACACACTAAAATGTGTGTGTTTTGGTGTCAGGGGCATCGATCAGTGTGTTGTTTGGATGAAATATGAGCCTCGGCAGAGGAAAAGAAGAGATATTGGTTGATACAGTGAGGAATGACAAAATGAGAAAGAGGAAAGGTAGTCATTATCAGATATTACAGTGTGTATGTTAGATATCAGAGAAAGTGGTGTGCCTGTATGCGTACTGTATGTGTGTGTGTATGAGTGCGTGGGTGGATCAGAAGTGCTATTACACTGAAAGAGTGGGTGTAAGAAGACGAGTGTATTTCCTGGCTCCCATCTTAAGAGGATGTTATGGTTCCTACATGTATTATCATTATGTAATATAATGTGCAGAAGTTTTTGATTTTTCTCCATTAAAATTTGATAGCAAGATGTACTCAGCAAGCACCATTAGACTCCATAAAAGTATTTTAAACCATATTTTATGATTTTAAATGTATGTGCCCAGCCATCTGAAAATAAGGCACTTTTATATCAATCCTCAAAATCAGGTTTTTGTTGGCACAAGCTTTTTTCATCCAAAGTAGTGCGTTAAGCCTGAAAAGAAGTGCAGGCAGCGTAGAGGAATATATTTACATGTAAATGGTTGTGTGTTGTGTTTAATCCTACAAAAGACTTTTCCAATTCAATTCCAGAGGGGCCACATGGGGAGACGGCCCATTATACTCCAGTGTACTTCCACATTTAGTGGTTGTCCTTGTGCGCTGCCTCTTCAATAAAAATGGAATTACAGTCGAGCAAAATGACCTACCTCAGCACACACCAACTGTACTTGAAAGTGGAAATCTGTAGGTGTTTGTCATCTTGACGTGATCAGGATATAGATTTCACACCGCTATTAAAGCAGATAAGGTTGAAATGCTCTGACATCGCTGTTTCCAAGGGATCAGTTTATTGGATTATGTGGGTCAACGTAGTGATACGCGTCATATTAGGTTCGATGTAGCTGTCAAGATTTATTATATCTCTTGAGTCATTCCCTACATGCAGATAATGTTGGGTTGTGTCAGCTCTGTCACTGTTTGCACCCTGTTTGTTTGCCTCAGATTGTACATCCTGTGAAAGCCTGCAATAACGTTTCTCCTTTAAAACGTTTAAAACGAATGTACAGCCATGTAAGCTCTGGTCATTAACGTGTGTAATCCATTGACAGTATATATCATCATTACCATGTTCATCATCTTATTTTAGAGCAATAGCATGCTAACATTTGTGAATTAGCACTAAACACAAGTATTTAGTCATGAACCAGTTTGGGACAAAGTTAGTGGATCATCAGAGTCAGTAGGACTAATCCTGTGGGAAACATGAATGTATGAACCAAATTTCATAGCGATCCCGTAGTCATCAAGGTATTTAACTCTGAAGCAAAAATTTAAACTTGTTTGTGGCGCCAGAGGGAAGGTCGGGGGATCAACAAAGTCATTAAAATGTATCCACTAGGGACAAAAAAAAAGTAAATTTCATGTCAATCAGTCAGGTAGTTGTCAAGGTTTTTCCCTTGAACAACATATATCTACTTCATAGTGACATTAGGGGAAAAGTCAGTAGAAGTAATAATTTGGACCCCATGAATTTTACTACATCAGGGCATTTCTGGCTGACCCACCAACAGACCAACCTTGCCAATCCCAAGAGCCATGCAGTCAGCCATTCCTGTAATATATCCATGAAGGGCAGAGGTATATATATATATATATATCTATATATATATATATATATAGATATATATATACACACATATATAAGTAAATGTTGTTTGAATATAGCTATATATATTATATGTATGGTTAGCTGCAGCCTTAACTGTCTCTTCCACAGCTGTCAGACTTGTGGTTGCCAGCTGCAGGCCTGGTCCTGTACTCTGGCCATTTTTCAGCTCCCTGTAGTAAAACAAGCAGCAGGCAGCAGTGTCCTACCATACCGCCAAGGTTAAACACAGTCACACACATTATTGTACCATCTCACAATCAGATTTTTTCCCTTATCCCTCCTCCTTGCTTCAAATCAAAACGTGTTTTTTGGCAGAACATAATCCAATTATCTACAGAGAAGAAGAAGATATTATATAAATCAATGTAAAAATGTTGCTTGATTTATAATAAACATATTAAACATAAGTTGAATCTGTTATCAAAAGGAGAGTGTGTAGGATTTAGTGGCGTCTAGCAGTAAAGTTGCAGGTTGCAACCATTTGAATACTGCTCAGCCTTTCATGCATGCAGGAGGAACTACGGTGGCCACAAAAATCTAAAGGCCCTATCTAGAGCAAGTGTTTGGTTTGTCCGTTCTGGGCTACTGTAGAAACATGGCAGTTGAAAATGGTGGACTTACAAGAGGCTCCCTCTGTAGATGAAAATGGCTCAAAAAATGTAGGAAGGGTAATTTTTGAGCTGCGTTCTTTCTTTGGGTGCCTTAATATTTACCGAATTGACTGGACATGGCCTGTCCTCAGAGGGAACCAGATGTTTTTTCAGACAATATGGAGATATATGACAACCGTCAGGTTCCTTTATCTTGTGCGTAAATGCTTTCCATTTGATAATGCAGTCTGTCTCTCTGTTTCTCTTTCACTCTCTTTCTGCCTACCTATTCTTATTTCCCATGTGCATGCTCTTTCATTTAACTTGTCACTCTCTGTCTCTCAGTCACCATTGCTCTCTTGTCCATCCTGTGCCTTCTCAGTTCATCTGTCTCTCAGATTGTTTTGAATTCCCTCTCTGGCCCTTTTCTTATCTATCTCCATCGCTGAACCTCCTCTGTCTCTTTTTCACTTGCCTCCTCTCACGGATCCACCCTCATCTGTCCTCATCTTTCCTCATGACCTCTGTCTCTCTCTGTCTGACTGGCCACATGCTAATGTGTTTGTAGATAGCACACAGTGACAGAGAGAGGCCATTAGAGAGTGTACTGACTGCCAATGGTAGCATCGTGTCCAGGACATCCAGGACAGCGCTGGTGTTAGCATTCGTCAGCAATGTGTGTTTGTGCATTGGTATATATATATATTGTGTGTGTGTGTGTGGAGAAAGAGGGGGTGAATGTATTTTACATTCCTGAGTATTTGTGTGCTTATATATCTTTAATCATACGCACAACATTATGTACATGTATATATGTGACGTGTGTATGGGTGTGTGCGTGTGTGTGCATGGGGCCATTAATAATGCAGAGCTGTTGATCACACTGAATGATTGATGACAGCGAGGTCATGGATAGAGCTCACGCAGGTTCACACAGAGGAAAGAATAAACACCAACCCTGGCAGCATCACGCTACATCAATGTGCCCAAGCTGTGTGTACAACCAGCACAGAGTCTCTTAAATGTAGTGCCACTTATTTATTTATTTACTGTAGTTTGCTACATCCGCTACAGCGTGAAAAATGCGTAACTAAAAGCACAAATATCTTGATTGACACTTTTCGTGCATTTTTTAATGTTTTGAACTTGTTTGCCGGTTATTATGTTCGTCCGTACGCAGCTGAGATCTTCCTCCATTTCTGCACACATACGTACCAAGTGATGAACATAAATCTGGCTTTAGTCATTGCATGGGATGTGAGATGTCGCCTTATTGATCTCTACCGAGATTATATTTCCTCTTTCACCCTATTCAAAAAAGGTCAGGGCCCCTAGATAGGAAGTGGCTGACTTGCTCGGTGACATTACAGGATGTGATAAAACTCTGTGGGAACCAGATATAATTTGCATCCTCAGTGCAGTTTGTGACAGTTTATTTCCCTCATCTGCTGTAGTTCTGATTCATGTGATCACAGCGTCGAGAATAACTTTGATAATGATTGACGTAATCAAGCTAAATGTGCGATATCCCTCTCCCCCGACCTCCTTGCCTGTAGGAGCCATGTGGTGAATGTAGCTAATTTCTCAGATTTTCTGGGATAGCAGCTGCAATCAGTGTGTGTGTCTCCAGGTGTCTGACACACACACACTCTGCGTGTAGACTGCGCATACCCCTTAATTCAGCACCATCAGCCAGCATTCTGCAGAACGCCGCACTACAGACGTGACAACAGCATGCATGTTGGAGTCTGCTTGTGCACAGCTATCTCACCTCCTCCCCTTCCTCTTTGGTGCAGAGAGCAGTGGGAGCGCTTGGCCCGGGATGAGATGTGAAGTGACGGCCTGCCTCTTGCTGTGGAGGAAAGATTCTTACGAGGGCCACGCAGCTTAGAGGAGGAGAAAGGCCTCCCTGTCCCTCCTCATTATGTTTCTCTACACTACAGTTTCCTGTTGGTTAATGGGCTGGTTGTAGTTGTGGCTTTGTTACACTGGGTTTTATTTACCAACTATATCTTGGTTTGGAACACAAAAGCTCTTATTTACTTCCACCAATAGTCATAAACTTGTAAAGTAAGAGCATTAATCTGCCTGGAGAGCAACCACTGTTATCATTAAAAAAAAGTGTCTTGTCATACTTGTATGAGTTGTAATTGCTAATAAGTGTAAACTTGCTTACTCATTATTAGCCATTAGGTACAGTAATGCCTTTCTAAAACTTAATTTAACATCCAGAATCATGCTGCTAATGTGGTCCAGGTGATTTCTAGCTCTATGACTTGAACCAGCTGCTATATTTAATTCCGTGCGCCCACTTCCGCTAACTCCTTGTGCTCCCTCTCCAGGTGTTCAACACCTACTCCAATGAGGACTACGACCGACGTAACGAAGAGGTGGATCCTGTGGCCTCCTCCGCAGAGTATGAGCTGGAGAAGAGGGTGGAGAAACTGGAGCTCTTCCCTGTGGAGCTGGAGAAAGGTGGGAAAGGAAATCTAAGAACATTGTAACGAGGAGGTGGATCTTGTCAGTTATACATTATACCCAGCAGACAGATTCACCTACATATGGGATGTCACTAAAGAAAAATTAAAGGTGGCATATTTCTATTTTTATTCTATCTATGCAGGTTCTTCAGTTTTTTCTTTTCCTCTGTTATGATTTACTGAATTTATGGCCCAACCATTGAAGATAAGGCTGGCTAATTTCACTGCTTCTAAGCATCCTGTTTAAATGCAGCAGTTCACTACAAATCTCCTTAGATCACATTAAAAGACATTGTAGAGCACAGTTTGTTCTAATTCCCCAGCATGAGCTACAAAGAGGTGATATTTCATCTTCTTCACTTGTCTTTTCCTGTTGAGGTTTTTCCTGTGTTGAAATCCAGTATTGCCAAGAACCTAAAATAGAATGACTTCATGTTGTAAGGTTTCATCCACCTCCCCATTATGTAACCCTAACAACTTGTGAATAATTAATGCGGAATAGAGATGGACGGATGCTACACTGGAAGGGAATTTCCCATTCAGCACGTTTCATATTTATGTGTGTAATACCAAGCCAATCGTAAATATCTAGTCTTCTCCATTAATAAATCAGGTGTTCCATCTAGCTGACATCAGTTTACTAGGAGCCATTTTGAGTTTGATCCAAGCTCACTGGAAAGTTACGAAATGGAGAGCCTTAACCCTGCTGTGCCCCATCGCACACTTACAGAGACCACAACTAACTACGTGGTCCGTGTGATTCCAGACGACGACGGCCTGGGGATCAGTATCATCGGGATGGGCGTCGGTGCTGACGCAGGGCTGGAGAAACTGGGCATCTTCGTCAAGACCGTCATCGAGGGCGGAGCTGCTGAGAGAGACGGCAGGTGAGCGCTGCTTTCCTTGCTGGATATCACACATGTCAGTGAGCGATTAATGAGTCTGGAGACACGTTAAAGCAGATGAGAGCACGTGAAAGCTCAGCGTGTGCTGGGACAAAGATTCACATTTCACTTATTGTACAAAAATACACACAGCAATTAATCAGCTGTTTGGTTTCCATTTACCCACCACCACCTCTTCTCACTCTCACACACACACACACAGAGTCACACTCTGTCCCTGTCAGATTTAGCAGCAGGGGTTGGGATTAAATCCACTGGGAGAGGCACAGTCTGGGACATGAAGTCTCACACAGGACTGTACAGTGCGTAGGTGTGTGCACTGTAAGTGTATTGTGTGACAGAGACAACGCATTAGAGTGTATTATCTCTTGTATTCTGTGTCAGTTTGCAAAAGTTAGTCTGCAGAAAATGAGAGACTTTTTTTTTTTATAGGCCTCCATATTCACAGTGTGTCTGTGTCTCTATGTATGTCCCTGGAAGATGTCTGTCTGTGTGTGTGTGTGTGTATGTGTGTGTGTCTTATTGAGAGGGAGAAACCGTATTGTGTCTGTGTGCATTATAAAGCGTGAACAGTGCAGAGTAAGCAACTCAGCCAGGGGTAGAGGAGGAAATGACAGCTTCCCAGCAGGCGAGCTGTGGTTTTGTGCCTCTAAACCACCAGCTTCTACCTATTAGTGTATCTGTGTGGTTCAGGTTCCCCATAAACAGATTAAAAAAACAGATAGGCACTTCCATTCCATGCAGTGTGAGAGCAGTAAGTACTGTAAGCTCAGCATACACACCCAGGAACCTTAGTGCACTGGGGTTGTTTGCGGTAGGTATGTTTTCATTTGGGGATTAATTTTTTTTCTTTTATGTAGCAGCCAGGGTTGGCATTTTCAGGAACACATGAGAGCGAGATTAGTTAAAATGTAGCGAGCAGAGAGATGGGGCAAAGGAATAGAGAGTGGGGAAAAGAAACAGCTTGTTCAAAAGTGACAAAAGTTGATCCTGTTCTAAGATGACAGTCGCACTGATTCCAAAAAGTCTAAGTTCTTTTAGTGAGTGGGAAAAGTATGAAAAGATCAGAGGAAGGCTGTGCTAAAGCTCAAGTTCAGTTCATTTCTGAGCCTTCAGATTTGAGCCTTTTCTCCTTTATTTAAAATAAACGTTTAAATAAAGTTGTAAATTTTACTGGTTCTCATCTCTCTACAATGACTTTTATGGTACCAAGAGGGAGAAGTCTACTTTGTGTTTAGTGCTAATTAGCCATTGTTAGCATGCTAACACACTAAAATAAGATGTTGAAAATGGTAAATATTACACATGCTCATAACGTTATTGTCATTGTGAACATGTTAGCATGCCGGCATTAGCATTTAGCTCAAACCACAGTCTGTGCCTAAGTACAGCCCATACAGTCTCACAGAGCTGCTAGCGTGACTGTACACTCTTCGTCCCTTATTTTGACTTTGCCTGCATATTTTCTATTCAAACTGCACATGTAGACTCAATATGAAGACCAAAAAATATATATAAAAAACTTTCACAATAAGCATATGTTTTTTTAAATATATTTTTTGGTGTCATACATTACTAAATGCCTTATTCATTAAATTGAGATCATTTCCTTTAACTTTTTCTCTTTTTAATGTATCTAAAAAAAATATTTCAAAGAGATTAATTACACTACTCATTACTGTTGAAAGTAATACTATTACTAGTAATACGTTACTGCCCAACACTGGTGACCACACATAATAAAATCAGTAAAATCTTATGTAGACAGTAGTACTGTTGTTCCAATGAACCCAAGCTTTAGTATGCAAGCCATGCACACGCCCACTCATCCACAATCCTTTGGTTGCAATAATAATCCGTTTTTCTGAATCTGCCTGTGTCCCCATGGATTTCACAATAAACTTTCATCACAATATAAGATAAATTAACTGAAGACGATAATACTCATAAATATCCTTTAAGCGCTATCTCACTCTCACTCTCTCTCTCTTACACACACACATACATGCACACACACACACGCAAACCAGGAGTCACCAGCCAGAATGTAATTTCCTTCCATCCTTACCTTTTCCAGCTATAGGGCTTTCTCTCTCTTGCTGAGTCAGACTCAATGGTCTGACGCGCATACACACACACTCACAGGCAGACAGATAGATGGGCTTGGCTGTGGCTCATTGTTTTGTCTGGTGCAGATGACCCTAGGTGTGTGTGTGTGTACTGGGGTGATATGGAGGTTATGAGATGAAGGTGTGTATGTGTGTTTTGGTTTATTTGTATGCGCTGTGTGTCAACCAGCCTCGGCCACACATAGCCAAATTGAAATGTTTGATGCCATAAAGGTCAGAAAAGTGTCCGAGCTGCTGACTGACAGACAACCAGCTCTCACCCTGTCAACCTCTCAGGCTCTATACATCCATGTGACAGCTCTGGTTGATGTGTCACTGTCATTTTAAATCCTGCTATGCAGCTGCTTTATGTTGTGACAGAGTGAGACAGGAGCTGAAAGGACGCTGGTTACTCCAGTTACGGATGCAGCCATCACAGAACATGCTTGATTTTGAGCTTAGCTTTGCAGGAAACTTGTGCAAAACTTCAACTGTAATGTGCAAACGTTTCGCTTGGAGTCAGCTTGTTCGGATGTATTTCATTATATTTAGAAATTGTGCGTGAGGTAGAATGGGTTTGTCTAAAGGTTCAGGATAAATAGAATCTGTAATGGTGCATGTTCAGTGATCTCTGTAGAACTAGTTAAAACTCTCATGAAACAGTAGTTCATTATCCTCTCAGTTCTCACAGGTGCCATCACTCTCCAGTCTCAAGAGTGGTTGTACTGGTTTGATTGGACCATTTTATATAATGAAAATGTAATAGTTGGATAGTGTAATTGAATCGTCTGTGCTTATAAACTCGTAGAAGTCCTACATTTTTGCAGGCTCCTTGTATGTTGTTAGCACTAGTAGAAGCAGGAGAGACCAAAGTGGTTTGTTGTAGAAGAAAATGATGCATGTGTTGTGCCTTCAAGCAGGGAAGTATAAGAACAATATGCTGTTTTGTTGAAAAATAATGAGAATTACTTTTTGTTTTATTCATGTGTCAAAGAAATTATTCAGATAACCTCTTAGTCTTGTTTTTATGCAAATTTCCGAGTAGATTTGAATTAAATATTGAGCGTGGACGTCTCTTTGAATGGATTTGTTCACGATCCTCTGTCATTAATAGTGGATCATCAGGAGTTTCATTTTAGGTCAGGAGCTTAGCTGACCTCTCATCGTGTCCAGACCAGAGCAAAAATGTCGGCTGTGTTGTGGCCCAGGGAATGGCTCACTGGCCTCCATGCCCTTGTTGGCCCTCCTAGTTTGTTTTGAGCCTCATCACTTCTGTCTCTTGGTTAGGCAATAGTCGGGAGCTATTGCAGTGGAAAGTCTGGCCCTGTTATTGTGAAAATAATCAGAATATGCATGATAGGCCAGTTTGTTTGTCCCTTGTGCCTCTTGTAGTAGTTTAGCTGCATAAGTCATGATGTTATTTTGACATTTATTTCTGTAGACTAGTTAGTCATTTTCAAGAGAATCATCCGTAAACCAAAGACAGTAATACTCGTGTTGAATGATGCAAATGATGATTCATTTGTGTGTGTGTGTGTGTGTGCATCAGGATCAAGGTGAATGACCAGATCGTGGAGGTGGATGGGACCAGT